GAATCTAAGGTTTGGGTTATACCACTCAACTTCATCACAAATCACGATTAGCATGCAACAATCAAGGTAAATTAAATGGATAAATTAGGGGAAGTCATCTAAGGCACCCAACTACTCTCTCAAACTAGAGGGATTACTTGAATCATGAATACAACCTACTATCGTGGTTATAAAGCATAAAACAAGTGTTAAAGCATAATCATGATGACATAAACATTCCCTTGACCGAAAATTCCTATTCTCATGGAATTTCAAGTCAATTAAGCATAATGGAGCTAAGTCAAGTTCATCTCTCGATCCTTCGTTGAGAAAGCTTGGATAAATAGTTCTAGCAACAGCCATATACAAGAACTGAGCAACTAAACCACTTAAGCTCAACTAATTAACACCCAATAATTACCCAATTATTACATGCAACAAGTAATTAGTGACTACATTGAGGGTTTTACCCAAACCCTAGAAAATTAGACTACTCATAATCCATGGAAATTAAAGCAATTAAACATTTCAAGCAATTCATGAACAAGTTCAAACTAAGGATTAAGCTAATTAACAAAAATCTAAGCATGCAAGAAATAAGCAAGTAATTATCAACAAAGTAGAGAGAAATGGAAGAGAAGAGTAAGGAATAGTTACTATGAAGCTTCAAGGTGAGCAACAATGGTGGAACTTGTTTTCTATAATGATTGAATATGAATATTTCCAAGCTAATAATTGGAATCTAACTAATGATTTGAGAATTTAATGTTCTAAGATTACAAGCTAAGAGAAAAGCACTAAAAACCTTGATAATCCATAAAAATGAGCTCAAAGGGGGTATTTATAAGACCCCCAAATAAAAAGGACGGAGAAAATAAGAATCGGGCTCGACTGTAGGTCGGCACGGACGTGCCAGGTTTGGCACGGACGTGCAGACTAAGACGCACGGATGTGCCGCCCTATGCACGGCTGTGCAGGGCAGGGCAGAAGCTACTGTTTGGGCTGGAAATCATGCACGGGAGTGCCAATTATGACACGGACATGCAACCTCTTTTGCACGGACGTGCCAACTTAAGCACGGTCGTGCAGGCCTTGACAGAAGGTTTTGACTTGCTGTAGCACTCCTGCACGGTTGCGCAGACATGTCCACGGACGTGCTGGGTATCTTGCACGGACGTGACTAAATTTGCACGGACGTGCAGGGCAAGGCAGAAGATCTTATGTTGCTGGAGCACTCTTGCACGGACATGCAAGGCCTGGCACGGCCGTGCAGGCTCTTATAAGCCCTTTTCTTCATCTTTTCTTCGATATTGCTCCTTTCCTTGGCTTCTTTCTACCATCTTCTTGCTTCTAACCTCGGTTTAGTATCCATGGGCTTCATTTGGTCGTCTTTGGACCTAGAATCTCAACAAAAACACTAACAACCCGTGAAGCATAGGATACACAAAAATTGCATAATAATAGAGTAAAAGTGAACCAAAACACAAATTTATCAAGAAAACTAGGTTCAAAAACACCCTAAAATCATAACAAATAGCAAGTTATCAAATCCCCCCAAGCTAAGCTTTTGCTCGTCGGGATGCCTCCCACACATTGTCTATTGTTTGGGCTGGAAATCATACAAATGTATATAAGAAACACATAGTAGACAATGTGTGGGAGGCATCCACAAGTTGACCTCTAAGAAGAGAAAATCAAAAATTTGAGAATTTTGGGGGAATTTTTTGTCCTCCCTTCTTTTCTATGTTTTTCTTTTTTTTTTCAACACTCATTGCCCTCGCCTCTTTTAACTGTGAGTGGCTCTTTCTTTATTCAAAACGCGTGGCTTATTACGCCACTTATTACACATGATACAAATAGAGCTAATTCCCTAATAGAGTTTCATTTCGGGGAGGAGAGGAGGCACATTAAGGGCACAAGAGACCGCAATTTGATTCAAACATATCCCACTTTGGGAAAATTTGACAATATCCTATGCTACACGTGCAATTGAGCATTTATCGGTTTTCGTTTCATATACTCTAATGTAATCAAGATTAATAAACCTCTAAATGACCCCAACTCTTGCACACACCCTTCATATATGGTGGTGGCCTCCAGGTCATGGAGATAGGCATAGGGCCGCCTACTCACCAACCACAAGTAGGGGTGGTTCCCTTCTGCATCCGTGAGCCACTTCATGGCCCTCAATGACTGCATGTCCAACTGTGTTGGCCCTGGGACAATCTCTTCATCTGAAAAATCAAGGTTAAGAGCAACAACAATAGTAGTAATCATGCCACCTATGGTGATGTTGCCGGATCCTGTGGCAACATACTCAAGGTGGTCTACAAACCAAGACCCAACATCCAAGCTAGTGCTACCTTCACTCAAGTGCCAAAGAAAGTAGAGCTCCCTTGTGGACACCACCCCCAAGCTATCCCCCCTAGCAAACGTCGTGTTTGCTATAGTGCACTGAGAAAGTCTGAATGCGGGGTGGATAATGGCGGTGGCCTTATCGGATCTAGGGTTGTACTCAAAAGCCCCCGAGATTCTTCTCCAAAAATCTCCTGCATTATAACCACGGGGTTGTCTATCCTTAGGTCCGATAGTTTCGGTTGTGGGCCACCCAAAATCTTGGTTTACTCTTGCTACAGTCATTTTATGTTGGGTGTTCATGAGTTGGAAAGTTATGTAGCGGGGGGTCCTCGTGGTGTCCCGATGCACATAAAGGGTGGAGAGGAATTCAAGGGTTAGTCTCCTATAGTTTGGGCATGCAATTGTAGCCAAGAACCTAGGTCGGCACCCTCAAACAACATCCTAACATCGTCTCCTACCCCTAGGGCATCGGCTACCTCGTCATCGTAAAACTTAGTGGGCCTAATTAGCCTCCTACTATTCCTAAGGAAGTTGAACGAAAAGGTCGGGTCATTGAAGATTATTCCCATTGTATCCACTTGTGGTGGAGCAACGGGAGAAGGAGGCGATGGGTTCCTAAGTCTAGAGGAGGAAGTGTTTCTTGGGCGGTTTCTTTTTGACATGATTGGTTCTTGTGCAAAGCAATTAAACACGCCACAACAATTCAAATCACCACGCCAAACCCACAAAAGCTCTAGGTTCACCTAGACAACAATTCAAAGCTCAAACAACACCAACAAACACCACACGAATCACGTTGGGGCTCTAAGTTCACCACCTAGGATCAAGTTCAAGCAATCACAAAAATAACCAAGATGGTCTTCACTATTTCAAGTCACAACAATTCAACACCAAACTTTGCAAAACTCATGCATTCATGTCAACAATTCATCACAACAACAACACAACTAAGCTAGCATGCTCTTCATTCACCAAATTAATTCCTACAAATCCTACTCACATACAAACATCCAATTCTCACAAAATTCATAAAGCACTATCAATTTCAACAATGCTTAACATATATCAACTATTATTCACTCACTACCAATTCAAACAACTTTTCAAGTAAAATTAAACACAAAATATCAAGATTTTAAGTATGGAAGTAGTGAATAGAAGGAATGATTATACCGGGTCTAACGTGGGTGTAAAACCCGCAAATGAACCTTTCTAACCTTCATTATGCTTGCTTTATTCTTCTCCTTCAACCAATTGCTTTGATTTTCAATCCACAAGAAAACCCCCAATTTGATTTTTTTGGTTAGAATTTGGGAAATTTGGGTGTTTTTTTGGGTTTAAAGATGGAGAATGGAGTAGTAGTTTGTTAATTTGTTGAAAAGGTGTGAAGATTTTGGTGAATAATGTTGAATTTGGGTGAGGAATTGAGTGTTTGAGGGGTTTAAGTGGAAGAGGAGGAAGGAGTTTAGAGAGAGAGAGGAGAGAGAATCGTGAGATTGAGAGGAGATGAGTGTGAATTTTTTTTTTTTTTGATAAAACCGTGCTGACTACTGCCCTATATTGGGGCTGCACGGACGTGCAGCTCCAGCCAGAATAGCTGCTGGTTCTGTCTTCGAGTGCACGGACATGCTTATTTCTGCACGTCCGTGCCAAATCCCAAATTTCGATCCTTGAACTTCTGGCTGCTTCTGCTCTCATCTGCACGGCCGTGCAGACCTTGTGGTGCATGATTTTAAGTATTTTTTTTTATTACTCCACTTTTTAACAAATACCTACAAAAGATATTTTTTTTTAAAAAAAGGTTAGTAATAATAAAAATAAAACAATTGAAATAATAGTTTATGAGAAAGAATGAGGAACTCGGGTTGCCTCTCGGAAGCGCTTCTTTAACGTCACTAGCTTGACGATATTGCGGGATCAATTGTTAGAGGGGAACATCGGACTCATCAAGGTGAACAACCTTGGCCTCTTTATTCACAAAACCGTCAAAGTATGCCTTTAGCCTTTGGCCATTCACTTTGAACGGTTCACCATTATCATTGGAGTTTTCAATTGCACCATATGGAAACAACTTCTTGACGGTAAAAGGTCCACTCCATCTTGATTTTAGCTTACCCGGAAACAACTTCAACCGGGAATTGAATAGTAAGACCTTGTCACCTTTCTTAAACTCCCTTTTGTTGATATGCTTGTCATGCCAAGCCTTGGTCTTTTCCTTGTAGATCCGTGCATTCTCATATGCATCTTATCTTAGCTCTTCCAAGGCATGGAGGTCAAGCAACCTCTTTTCACCGGCACTTTGAAGGTCAAAGTTCAACGTTTTAATAGCCCAATGAGCGCCACTACTACATTTTTGACCTATTGTAACCCTAAAATCCGTTGCATTAGGCATCAAAATCCGTGGCATTAGGCCTAATGCAACGACCATGTACCGTGGCATCCGATGGCGTTGCAGTAGGTCTAATGCAACGGCATATGACACCTAATGCCACGGCACCAATGATCCGTTGCATTAGATCAACACCTGATGCAACGACAACATTATTGGCGTGGCATTAGCTATAATACCTAATGCCACGGTTTTCTATACCTAATGTCACGGTCTCCTATACCTAATGCCACGGTTCCCTATACCATGATGCCAGTAATTCAAAATCAAAATCTTCTTAAAAAATTCATAATTTATTAATATAAATTAGAAGTTTGTACATTGTTATCTATAAGAAAAATTACTAAATTAGACAGCATAAGCTACAACAAAAACACTACAAAGAAAGCAACAGCTTCTAACTACATCACAGCTAAACTGCAGTAAAGCATCACCACCTAACCCATCATCCAGCAGCAGCACAGCAACACACAGCACTGCACCAGAAAACAGCCCATCCCAACAGCACAGGCCATGATAAGACAACAGAACAACACAAACCAACAGCACATAGCCTGGGAACAGCCACACACAACAAAAGACCTTCACAGCAGCCCAACTGAATAGATGCAGCTAGCAACAGACAGCCCCTAGAGCTACCCAGCCCAGCACATCCAACCTGCAATAGAGAGGAACAGAAGAAACAGATAGCTTCTAGGAAGAAACAACAACCAACACCAAAGAGAACCCCTGTCAAAGCTAAAAAACAGAGAACAAGAGTCACACAGGAATACTATTTTTTAAGAGCTGGAGCCACTTGTAATGATTCCTCCTCCACGAATTATCAATCAGCTGTTGAACTGTACCCACCACCTCAATACAGATTTCTTTGCACAGCTTCAAGGGGATAATAATAGCCTTCTTCCCAAAACGCATGATTTCTAGCAAGCCAAATATGATACACACAGGCATTGAGAGCTGCTAAAACAGTCCTCTTTTGAATCAAATACCCTAACATCCCCTGCCAAAGAATGTTGTAGCATAATTCCTAATTTAAATTTTTTATAGAGATGATAATTTAACACTACCAAATAGAACGTAGAATAATTTCTGCGATAATTTAACTTGACATTTATGCCAAATATACGAAATAGTAAGAAACTAAACAATGTGCAATCCAGAGTAGCCTGATCATATTAGAAAGTCACCCATGACCAATATTCGGACTATAACACAATTTTTACACACAAGGATATTCAAGGTTCAATTAGAAGGAAGCCATAGCACAGTGCTCCTTATGCCACAACATAGAGGGTTGATGATGATTCTGGGACCCTACTATAAAATAAGTACTTATCATTGAAGCTACCAATCAAGACTCATTTAGACTAGAATGACACCATATTTAGATAATAGTATAATAGTACACCTCAAGTAAATGAACTAACCTCACATCGGCAAATGTCACTACCCATCCACGGTCAAGTAAGCTGAGGCGATCTGAGGACCAGCTCTCTCTCTCTCTCTCTCTCTCTCTCTCTCTCTCTCTCTCTCTCTCTCTCTCTCTCTCTCTCTCTCTATATATATATATATATATATATATATATATATATATATATATATATATAGGGGGGGGGGGGGGGGATAATTTTAATGGCCTATTCACTCACTGACAATTTTATTAATTAATCTAAGCTTATTCTCTCATCATCTCTATAAATAAATTATAGATAGATTAATCAGTCTCTAAACTATATTAATCAGTCTCTCATCATCGGACACAACATTCATCATTTCATTGTATGCTCTTTTCCCTTTTGAAGAGCACCATGTCAGGTGAGATCTCCAATTTTTTTTTATGTAAATGGGAAACCTAGGAGTTTCAAGTTTCTAGTATGAAAATTCATCAAGGTGGCCAAGTGGGAGCTTATACACTTGAGCACGGCAGTCACATCGTTACATTATATTATTTCTAGCATTAGAGATTTTGAAACGTTCAAGTTTTCCTGTTGGTAGTATTATTGTTAGTTTAAATTTGGCCAATTGATAAGCATAATCGTTAAATTATACACCTCACATAGATTGGTGGTGACAGATGATATGTAGTAGCTTGTATCATAACTAAACCTACAGCATGTAAGTATTTGATACTCACATGTATCTAAGCTTAATCTATAAGTAATGCCTGCTTCCTTACTTTATACAAACTTGGTACTTCACAATTCCAATCTACTAACATATTTGTTGGTTAAAATGGTATTATTAAATAATTAAAGGACACCATTTTCCGTATTCAAAGTCATGATTTTGCAAGAAGTAAATAAAACTTTAAACCTTCAGACCCTACACTAATTTCCAGCAAACAACTAGCTCAATTTTGATTCAATCCAGATAACTCTCCAGCACTAAATATTGCAAACAGACAATTACCTAATTAAAAGTAGACAGGGGCGTCCACGAAAATGCATTACTGATTCACTTTCCACATTCATATTTTTAATCTAAAGGTGACTGCAAAATAATGTTTGGCTTCATGGTAGACAAAGCTGAACAAATTAGTATGAACTTTCTACACTATATATGAATAACGCGCACCTTATAAAGCAGATTACCAAAATCATTTATATAACAACACCATTAACTTCTGTAATCTCGCAATTATCTACAAAAATCGAGCTATAACTCTACAATTTCAATCTCAATTACTATTTTGCACAATTGCAATTGCATAATCAAATCAAAGGTTTCATATCTTACCAGAAAACCCGACTACACCGCCGTCTTTGCAAAATCAATTTACATTGACATTGTAAAAAGAACTAAACCCTAAAATTGAATTCATGAAACTTGGAATTGATCGAATTTAAGGCAAAGAAAGTCTCAATTCAAGCAATAATGATGATGGAATAGAGAGGAGAAAAAAAAAGGAGAAAGAATTTGAGGATTTACCTCCGGCCAATAACTTATCCGAGCAATAATCAAATGGAACTCTATAATCCAGCAGAAAAATCATAGAAGGTTAGAACGATTTAGGAGATTGCGGGATGAAGAAGATAGATAAAGAGTGGAGGAGGAGAAGAAAAGGTCTAGGGTTTAAACGGAAAGACCGAAAGAGAAGCGCTGAGAATGAAATAAAATTGCCTAAAAAAAAGAAAAAAAAAACACAAAAGCACTAATATCAGGCATGTACTCATAGGTCCGTCGTGTTATACCACTCTAATGCAACGATTTTGAGTTTGCCGTTGTATTAGGGAGTAGCCATTGTGTTAGAATTTGCTATTGCAACGGCTATAAGGTAGTCGTTGCATTAGACTCAGCTATTGCCACGGTCTTGAATATAGCCGTTGCATTAGATCTATTCATGGCGTTGCATTTTATCAAAAATGTAGTAGTGCGCGATGCTCAAGTTCTACCAGCAAATGGCATGATTTCCCATATACAAGCTTGTAAGGTGTGGTACCAATGGGAGTCTTGAATGCGGTGCGGTAGGCCCATAGAGCATCATCTAGCTTCGTAGACCAATCCTTTCTAGACCTATCCACCGTCTTCTCTAAGACCATCTTTATCTCCTGGTTTGAATTCTCGGCTTGACCACTAGTTTGTGGGTGGTAAGCCAATGACACCTTGTGCCTCACATCGTACTTCTCAAGGAGAGATTGGAAGGACCGCTTTGCAAAATGCGAACCTCCATCACTAATGAAGGCACGTGGCACCCCGAACCTTGGGAAAATGACCTTCTTGAAGAGATTGACTACCACCTTAGCATCGTTAGTAGGAAATGCAGCCGCTTTAACCCACTTTGACACGTAATCGACGGCCACAAGAATGAATTTATTCCTCAAAGAGGTCGGGAAAGGCCCCATAAAATCTATGCCCCATACATCAAAAATCTCCAACTCAAGAATGTTGTTCAAGGGCATTTCACTTCTTGAAATGTTGCCGGTTCTTTGACACCGGTCACAAGCTTTCACTACACCCCACACATCTTTGAACATTGTAGGCCAATAGAAACCACATTGTAAGATTTTCGCCAAAGTTTTGTTAGCACTCATATGCCCTCCGCAAGGTGAGGAGTGACACATTGTGATAACACCTTCAATCTCATCATCCGGGACACACCCTCTAAAAAGGCCATTAACACCTTGTTTAAAGATCAAAGGGTTGTCCCAAAAGTATTGGCGAACATCATGAAGAAACTTCCTTTTTTGTTGATAGGTGAGGTCGGGAGGAAGAATAGAGTAAGACAAATAGTTTGCAATGTCCGCAAACCATGGTGCCGGTGCTTGAAGGATAGCAAATAGTTGATCATCCGGAAATGAATCATCAATTGGCAAGTTATCAAGATCACCTACGAAGATAGCCAACCGTGAAAGATGATCGGCCACAACATTTTCGGCACCCTTTTTGTCTCTAATCTCAATATCATAATCTTGCCAGAGCAAGACTCACCAAATCAATCTTGGCTTAGGTTCCTTCTTGGACAAGAGGTACTTCAAGGCCGCATGGTCGGTGAAGACTATGACCTTAGAGCCCAACAAGTAGGACCTAAACTTCTCAATTGCATGAACAATGGCTATAAACTCCTTTTCCGTGGTTGTGTAATTTCTTTGTGCCTCATCCAATATTTTGCTAGTATAATAGATAGCATGGAGCTTCTTGTCCTTCCTTTATCCAAGAACGGACCCAACGGCAAAATTCGCAGCATCACACATAAGCTCAAAAAGAAGCTCCCAATTAGGGGGTTGAATGGTAGGAGCCGAAATTCAAGGCCTCCATCAACCTATCAAATGTTAGCAAACAATCATTAGTAAACACAAAAGGGGCATCTTTTACCAACATTCAGTGAGCGGCTTTGCAATTTCTGAAAAATCCTTTATGAACCGGCGGTAAAAACCCGCATGTCCAAGAAAGCTCCTATCCCCTTAACATTTGTAGGGGGTGGGAGGCGCTCAATTACCTCAATCTTGGCACGGTCTACCTCAATGCCCCTACTAGAATCACATGACCAAAAACAATGCCCTCCTCTACCATGAAATGACATTTTTCCCAATTCAAAACTAAGTTCACCTCTTGACATCTTTTTAACACTTTAATCAAATTCGAAAGACAAGAGTCAAAAGATGAACCAAAAACAGAAAAGTCATCCATGAATACCTCAATTGATGATTCAAGCATGTCAGAAAAGATAGACATCATACACCTTTGAAATGTGGAAGGTGCATTACAAAGTCCAAATGGCATCCTTCGATATGCAAAGGTGCCAAAAGGACACGTGAATGTAGTCTTCTCTTGATCCTCGGGTTTGATTGAGATTTGAAAGAATCCCGAGTATCCATCCAACAAGCAAAATGACTATGTGATGCTAGTCTTTCCAATATTTGATCAATGAAGGGGAGTGGGAAGTGGTCTTTCCAGGTGGATTTATTCAATTTTCGATAATCAATGCACATCCTCCACCCGGTGACCGACCTCATAGAAATGGTCTCACCCTTATCATTTTTGATGATGGTCATGCCACCCTTTTTAGGCACAACTTGAACCGGGCTAACCCACTTAGATAGGGTAGATTATGCCCGCCTCAAGAAGTTTTAAAACTTCTTTTTTCACCACTTCCTTCATGTTGGGATTGAGCCTTCTTTGGTGCTCAATCGAGGAAGCATGATCATCATCAAGTATAATTTTATGCATGCATATGGTGGGACTTATCCCCTTAATGTCATCAATTTTTTACCCAATGGCATCTCTATACTCCCTTAAAACAACTAGGAGTTTCTCAAGAAAGGTGTCATCGAGCTTAGCATTGATAATAACGGGATAACTCTCAATATAATCAAGAAAAGCATATTTAAGTAGAGGGGGAAGGGGTTTAAGTTCAACCTTAGGAGGAGGCGTAGTCCTCTCCTCTTTTGCTTCCACGTTAAGCACTTCAAATTTCATCACATCGTGGACCAAAGTTTGGTTGAGTAAGAGATCATACCCCTTTGCTTCTTCACCCTCCTCAACTAAGCTTCTTGTTAGGGTATCTTGTAAAGGATCTCTTTTATACAATCTTTCTCGGAACTCTTCTAAGTCCCTCTCCAATGTGTCAATTCTATGAACCTCATCAATCAATGGCTTCTCTAAAGTTTGTGAGAATGAAAATGAAAGTTTATCATCTCCCCATTCAAAGTCAATCTTCCTTCCTTCATATCAATCACCACTCCCGCAGTGTTCAAAGTGGTCTCCACAAAATGAGGGGTACTCTTGTATCTTCTTCCATCTCCATTACCACAAAATCACATGGCACAAATACTCTTCCAACTTGAATCGGCATATCTTCAAGAATCCCTAAAGGTAGCCCAACCATGCGGTCGGATAATTGTAAGGACATTCTTGCTTGTTTCAAGTCTCCAACTTTCTAGCTCTTTGCAATAGAATAGGGCATCAAGCTCACACTTGCATCCATAGCTTCCAAATCTCCAATTTTCACCGGTATTGCATAGCTACCGGGGTCACCAAGCTTTTGGGGAAGCTTGTTTTGAATGATGGCACTCACCTCCTTAGGAAGGGAGATGGTTGCACTCTCTTCAAGCCTACTCTTGTTGGATAGAAGATCCTTCAAAAATTTTGCATAGGTAGGCATTTGTGACATAGCATGAAGAAAGGGGATGTTCACCTGAAGTCCTCTCATGACTTCACAAAATTTTGAAAACTTTTCATTCAACTTCTTCTCTACAATTCTATGAGGAAATGGAATAGGGGGCTTATATACTCTCATAGGGGGCTTTTCTATTCTTTCTTCATCTCCCTCATCTTTCTTTGTGGCTCCCTCATCACTCTTTTGTTGCTCTTTTCTCTCAACTTCAACTACTTCATTTTCGATATCATCCTCACTTCTCACCACAACTCCCTCATCTCTCTTTTGTGGCTCCTCCCACTCATAACCGGACCCTCATAACCTCTTCCCGATCTCAAAGTAATAGCCTTAGCTTGCTCCTTTGCGTTCACTACCGTTGAGCTTGGAAAGTGACCACTAGGATTGAAGGATGAACTTCCAACTTGTTGTGCATTTTGAGCCAATTGGCTCTCCATTATCTTATTGTAAGCTTTAAGTTGTTGGATGTTTGCATTCATATCCGCATTGCTCCTTATTTGTTGTGTCATGAAAGTTTCGAGAACGGATTCAAGGCTAGTCTTTTGAGGAGGTGGAGGAGGAGGAGTGGGTTGGTTATATTGTGATCTTTGTTGGTTTTGATCCCTTTGATTAGAGTGGCGGTATATGGAGCTTGTTAATTTTGAGAATGGGGTTGGTTGTAGTGGTTTTGAGGTTGGTTTTGATTTTGGTTGTAGTTTTTTTGAGGGGGGCCTTGGTTGTGTTGCTTCCATCCCGTGTTTTGTTGGGGTTTACAACTTTGATTGTAGGATTGGGAGTATTGCTCATTTCTTTGCCCAATTGCTGCCGCTTGCTCTTAATTTGTTGAGTTGCAATAGGAGGACAAGTGATCATTTCCTCCACAAGTCTCACAAGACATGACTTGTGAAGAAGAGCTTGAGGGTGTGAGGGTGGCTTGATCTAGCTTGTGAGCTAGCATATCGAACTTTGATGTAATAAGATCTATTGCACTAAGATCATGAATTATGCCCTTCTTTGTTTGAGGTTGCCTTCGATCACCTCCATATGAATAATGCTTAGCCACTTCCTCAATCATCTTATATGCATCATCCACCGATAGCTTTTTGAGGCTACCACCAACCCCGGAATCAAGGTTAGCCCTTGAAATAGGAGTAAGACCGTCATAGAAGCTTTGTACAATGATCCATGATGTAAAACCATGGTGGGAGAATTTCCTTGTGTAATCTTTGAAACGCTCCCAAGCTTCACTCAATGTTTCATCAATGTCTTGATTGAAATTGGTGATCTTTCTTCTTAATTTGGCGGTCTTTTCTGAAGGACAATACTTTCCAAGAAAGGCTCTAGTGACTTCGTCCCATGTACTCAATGATCCCTCTTCAACAGTTCTCAACCAATGCTTTGCTTTATCACGGAGGGAGAATTGAAACATGTGCATACGGATGAACTCTTCCGAAATGTTGTTTTTCTTATGGTTTTACAAAACTCAAGAAATTTGTCCAAATGAGCAAAAGGACACTCATGAGGACTACCTCCGAATTGATCGCTTTGAATCATACAGATGATTTGAGGTGAAAGCTCGAAGTTGT